TTGTAACATTGTGGAGATTGGTGAAGGAAGATCAAGAAACCAGAATAACAACAGCATGCCAGAAGAACAAAAAAGTAGGGATTGAAAAAAAATATCAGTCAGTCATTGTGTGGAAGGAGAGACAAAAGATTCCCGAAGAACAAAACTGAAGAAGCATCATTGAGGTAAGAATAAACAGAAATTAAAATCAGCTGATAAACTGAGAAGAAGATTTGGATTATACAGAGATACAGTATATGTATACAGTTCAATTTGTTTTTATATTACTTGTGTTTAAAACTATGGTGTCTCCTTAGAAATTTTTTTGCTGTAAATCTCAGAAAAAAAAACCAACAAGTTTATATGTTTCAAAGAAATAATATTTCTTATAATTTTACATGCTTGTCTTTGTGTCTATCAAATCCTCCAGACTGACACAGCTTCATTAACTGCCTCATATTTTGATGTGATATTCAAATTCAGCTGTGATGTAATTTTAGGTAGGGTATGTTCCTTGTAATTGTTCTATTTATTGAAAGTTGTAAGGTCATTATTCATTCACACTCCAGTCAACACTGTGTCAATTAAATGTTTATCATTTTTAATTTACAAGAGTATACCTAATTAGATAATGCTTTGACGATATTATCTAATTGTTTTTCCCTTTTATGACCCTAATCCCAACTAGTTTGAGTTTAGCCTGTATTGTTGTAAGTCAAGAATTTTTACACCCAGGTGACTGGTTCAGTACGCAACCATATAGGATGGGCATGTTCGGTAATGCAGATTCGACCTTGTGACCCTCAGATTACGAGTCGATAACCCTAATTAACAGGCCATACCAGGCATTATCTAAATATCATATTTAAAAATTAGAAATGTTTCCCATGATTACATAAACACATCTTAAATTTTATTCTCAATATATCAGTGTAGTTTTCTAAACTATTTTTATGATAACAGTAATTAGATGTAATTCAGTTAACTAACTATGCACCAAAATGTGACAAAACTTGTAGAAAATTACTGTATAAGACAAGACTATGTTGTTACAATCTATCTCAAGGCTTGTTTAGATTATGAATATTTGAGCATCTTAGCTGTTTTGTAGTAATTTTCCAGTTACAGCCTGGAATTTTCTCTAAGCAAGCAGATTGGAAACTACTTGAAAACAGTACTTTACAGTCACAACATAAATAGAAGACAGAAAAATAACCCTGCAAAAACTTAGCAGTTCTGGCCATACTAGAAAGCATTCCTTTCACGACACAGGGATGAAGTTTTCCGATAAACTATTTGATTGCTACTGTTCATAAGCTGATAACAGATGTCTTTGAACAACCAGTTAAAGAAATGGTTTTGTTAAAGATATTTTTGATGGTCAATCTAATCTTTCTTACCCAACAGCTTGTAGACTAATGGTCATATGATTACATCTCAGTGTT